GACTGAGCCACCCAGGCACCCCAAGTAGGTTGTTATCCATGGTTATGGCACGCTCACCTTCATAAACCTGAACGAGCACACCAGGCTGGTTGTCAGAGTAGGTAGGGAAGGTCTGCATCTGTTTGGTAGGAATGGTAGTATTGCACTTGGTGAGGACAGTCATGACTCCTCCAGCAGTTTCAAAGCCAAGAGAAAGAGGAGTGACATCCAACAGCAGGGAATCCTGAACATTTTCAGACTTGTCTCCAGAAGGGATGGCTGTCTGGACAGCTGCACCAGAAGCAACAGCCTCATCAGGGCTGATGCTCTTGTTCAGTTCCTTTCCATTGAAGAAGTCTTGCAGAAGTTTCTGAATCTTGGGGATATGGATAGAACCACCCACCAGGACAATATCATTGATCTGACACTTGTGTAGCTTGGCATCCCAAAGGGCTTTCTCTATAAGGTCCAGGGTGCCACAGAGCAGGTCAGCATTTAATTCTTCAAATCGGGGACAAGTCATAGAGGTATGGAAGTCAATTCCTTCATACAGAGCATCAATCTCAATACTGGCCTCATTGCTGGAAGACAATGTATGCTTAGCACACTCGTAAGCAGTCTGGAGGTGATGGACTGCCCTCTTGTTCTTGTGGATGTCCTTCTTATGTTTGCACTTGAACTTCACAATAAAATGGTTGACCATTCGGTTGTCAAAGTCTTCTACACCTAAGTGGGTGTCTCCAGCTGTAGATTTGACCTTAAATATCCCATTTTAATGGTGGGGATTGAGACATCAAAAGTGCCACCTCCTACATCAAAGATGAGCACATTCCTTTCAGCTCCAACCTTTCTGTCTAAGCCTCTGTGATTTCCTTCATCTTTGTCAAAACCACAGAGGACACCTCTTCTTTCCCTTGTATTTTACTTAGACCTTGGGCCTGCCAACATCATTCCCCACCATGAAGAGCCAATGCTCCATATCAGATTGGACAAGAGCATCACCGACTTTATGTCCGATCAGGCATTTGACATCAAAAACTGTGTTGGTGGGGTTCACTGCAACTTCATTCTTTGCAGCATTGCTGATCAATCGTTTGATTTCAGTAAAAGTGACAACTTGGGGTGGTTCAGTTTCCCTGATCGTTGGCAATTATTTCCACTTTCCCATGCTGGAAGACACCCACACCATAGGAGGTGGTGCCAAGATCAATGCCAACTGCAGGTCCCTTAGATGTAGCGCTTCCATGTGGGCCTTGTGCAGCTTGCAAAGAAAACAGCAATCTGGAGAGCTAGCATGTCGTTCAATGAGATCCTGTGCCTACTGAGTTTTGTGTTGTATTCACTTAAGTAGCATACTGTGAAAAATATTAAATTGAAGTCTAGAAAAATCTTTGTCTTTTTTGAAGTGTCTGCACACTGCCCAGGTTTGATAAGCACTGTTCTAGAACAAAAAAATGCTCCCCACACATGAACACGGTACCTTTAGAAGCTACATAAGCTCAGGACGCTAAGCTGTCACTTCATCTTATGCACTGATGCTCCTAACACCATGTCACAAACACAGAAAGGGATCCAGTTCCACAAGTTGGGTGCTGTATTATTTGGAACCTCAAATACATTTTTTTTACTCACAGAAATTACATTAAAAACCATGTTAGGATCCCAGATCAGTTGACCAAAGCCCTTCTATTTATTTTTTAAAGATTTTATTTCTTTATTTGAGAGAGAGAGAGAAAGAGAAAGAGCATGAGAGAGATCACGAGCAGGAGGGAGAGGTAGACGGAGAAGCAGACTCCCGTTGAGCAGGAAGCCCGATGCAGGGCTCCATCCCAGGAACCTGGGATCACGACCTGAGCCAAAGGCAGAAGCTTAACCGAATGAGCCACCCAGGCGCCCGATCAAAGCCTTTTTAATATAAAATGTTCCTGGGCCAGGAAGAATGATGTGTCCTGGAGTACATTTTAAAAGACAAGTTTTCCTTTCCTTTTTCATTAGACCAGGAAACATTTTACAGCAGAGGTTTGGGGCTACCTGTCCTTATCTTCTGCTTCATTCTAGCTCTACCTCTTCCCCAAATCTAGCAATTCTTCTCTCTAAAAGTATTTCCTGCTGCAAAACAAGTGCGCTCATACATAGAATTGCCCAAAGTTTACAAACAGCTCCACCGGGCCTATCTTCCTGACTCCTCATATCACAGCAGCCTGATAAATAAGCATTAAAATTCTCATTTTGTAGATAGCAAAACAGATTCAGAGAGGTTAAGTGGTGTTCCCGTGGTCAAACAGCTAGTAACAAAATAGGCCTGAAGTAAAGTGTTTGATTCCAATTCCCTGAGTTTTTCCCTCCAATCTCTGATAATAACAACTATTTTTCTTTCCCAGATCATTAGGAGGGAAAAATGTTTAATTAACAAAAATTGTTTCAAATGGCTAATAACCACTTAACTCTCTGAGATATCTGCATTTTCAAAGCAGAGTGCCAAGCTGCCTAAATCTATAACATGGAGAACCGCAGGAAAGGTGTATTTGTTTCCTAGGGTTGCAAATTACCACAAACTCTGTGGTTTAAAACAACAGAAATGCATTCTCTCACTGCTCTGAAAGCTAGGGGTCTGAAGTCAAGGTGTTGGCAGGGTTGGTTTCTTCTGGAGGCTCCAGGGGACAGTCCCCTTCTAAGCCGGCCATCCTTGTTGTGTCTTGGCTCGTAGACACAGCACTCCAATCCCTGCCACCATGTTTCTCCCCCTCTCCTCCCCTTGCCTCTCCTCCCCTTGCCTCTCCTCCCCTTGCCTCTCCTCTCCTCTTCTCAGGACACTTGTCATTGGACTTGGAGCTCACCCTAGTCCAGAATGATCTTACCCTGAGATCTTCAACTTAATTATATTTACAAAGACCCTTTTACCAAATAAAGTCCCATTCACAGGTACTGGATGGATTTATCTTTGGGGGAGGGGCACAGTTCAAAGCACTACACAAGGGCAACTGCAAAGTGAACTTTCTCGTTCATGGAATACCGAGTATCCCACCCATTATCTCCTAGCCAGAAACAAACATCCTATATCTGGAAATTTCCTCCAGGTTCTGGATTCCACCTCTAGTCATTGGTTTCCCATATTTCTGTATTCTGCCTAAAACGGGAGTTTCCCTCTTCTTTGCCCATTCATATGATCACCTCCACTGAGACGGCTGCCTGGCTTTCACTGATTTCTCTACCTGGCCTGGTCTTCCATTCTCCTTAGCATTTACTAAAGCCCACTGAGTCCAGGCTTCCAGGAAAGCTCATTCCCTACCCCCTCTCATCCTCAACTACCATTTATCTTGGACCAGAATGCGAACACCGGGGAGACATGATTGGTTGTTCTTAGAGGTGAAGGCAGCCTGACCCTGCCTGGGAGTCAGTGTCTCTCATTAGTTCCTGAAAGGTGATGCTTTTCATTGCTTCTTCCTCTTGCCCCTGCCCTCACATCAGCATTGATTCCTGTGGCCCAGAAATCCCAGGGCATTTTCCACACCCCACTGCAGGTAGGGGAGCCCTGGGCTAAGGCTCCTGTGTCTACTATCCCATAGCAGTGGGGGGACAAGGTGGTGCTGGCCATACTCAAGAAAAAAAAAAATGACCAATATTTGTAAGAAAAGAAAGGCTTCCTTCTGCTTCAGACCCCGTTCTCTGTGACAGACGGTGCTCCTTAAAATATACCCTCCACTTAAATCAACTGAGCCACCCAGGCATATGCTAAGTGAAATAAGTCAATCAGAAAAAGACAATTATCATATGGTTTCACTCATATATGGAATATAAGGAAACCACAGAGGATCATAGGGACAGGGAGGGAAAACTGAAGGGGAAGAAATAAGAGAGAGAGACAAACAATGAGAGACTCGGGACTCCAGGAAACAAACTGAGGGTCGCTGAAGGGGTGGTGGGTGGGAGATGGGGCAACTGGGTGATGGGCATTAAGGAGGGCACATAATGTGATGAGCACTGGGTGTTACACTCAACTAATGAATCAATGAACATCACATCAAAAACTTATGACTGGGTATTATATTCAAACAATGAATCATGAAACACTACATCAAAAACCAATGATGTAATGTACAATGATTAACATAACATAAGAAAAAATAAATAAATAAAACAAAAACTTATGATTTGTTATATGTTGGCTAATTGAATTTAAATAAA